GATGGATGGATGGATGGATGGATGAATTGACGGACGGACGAACGGATGGACGGACGGATGGAGCACAAGTTATCCAATTTATCACATTGGCTATGCACCAGCGTAACCTCGCTAGACACACTGCCCTCTGCGTGCATTGTTTCATCTCTATTCTCGCCTCTAGATTCCACATTCTTCTCTACTCTACCAGGAACTCTCCCCCTTCCTCTTCTACCTCAACGAATGAAATTATCTGGCTCCCACGCGTCATTTAACTCCTTCCGCTTTCCCGACTTCTACCTCCTCCCATTCCCTAACTTCCGAGACCGTGTCATTTTCATAATCAGCCTTCTTCCCTTCTCTATCTGTTATACCCCGCTTCGCCTACTTCCGTCATAACATTCGTTTATAATTTGCGAGTATAATATGTACTGCATAAAACTTGAATATGCCTAGATATTTTCACTATCAGACCATCGCATATATTACTGAAATCAAAAACACACAAACCAATAACAGCAATACAGTAGTGTAACAGTGTACCCGTACAAAAGCATAATAGTAATAAACAGGGCAACTATAACGTAAACTATAAACATTTAAACGTTTTCTTCTTGCTGCTATTTAACGAAATTGAACCTATTAGACGTTTTAATAGACCATTTAGACGTTTTAACCTCGTTCTCTGATTCCTCGCTATTACGTTTTTGACTGTCAAAATGTATGTTTATTATATTAAGATCCTGGCAAATTCAAACTGAAACTAATGGTGAAATCTAAGATCTTGTTTATTAAATTAATAAATAAGAATTGCTCTCGGTCTGTTTGCCTCCAGCTAAAAATCTGCTTAATCGCCATTTTTGTTAGGAGCAATTCATTGAGTGGCGCCTCCGGCGTAGTGACAAAACGTCACGATCAGTCAAAGTCAAATTCGTCATAGGTTTGAAGGATTTCAACAATATTATGAGTGAATATAAAACCATAAGCGTAGCATAAGCGCAACACATTAGTAATAACGGGCCCAGGTTTCTTACTCGGCCTTGAGTTCTAGGCTTGGCAAGAGACGTCACAGATACCACTAAAAATCATACTTATAGTTACTAGCGTATGGTGTTCTTCATCGTGCAATGCTATGCCGGATATTTCACCTATCTCCCTCGCTCGTCGAATAATGCTATACCTGGTATGAGAATATTCTAAACAGGTTTACTTCGATCGATCGATCCATACAAGTAAGTGTCTATCGATGTAGTGGGACTACATGAACAAAATGTCGGATGTGGCGTCTGTTAGTCTTTGGGGTCTAAGTGATTAGCGCACTTTTTGGATTCTTGCCTACATTAAACTTATGGCACCTAAGTTGTGTGTCTCCAATACTATGTATATCTACATTCACCATTTGAAGAGCACGTGCGCAACTCGGTCATACAGTTCAACAAAACTCATATTTTCGTCATGGCTAAAATACTTAACGATTTGGCAGACCGACATTGTCTCAAATCACATAGGAACGCAGCAGGAGGCACTAAAATACGTAGGCCTAAAAATATGTAGTTGCGTCTTTTTTTTGTTTTTCGCTCTCGATTTCGTGATTAATAGAATCAAACTAGACAGTAATCATACAGTGATTAGTATCTATAGCGATGTGTAGTAGAACCACACAGATTATCCGTACCCTATAGGTATATATTAGTGCTAGTAATAAATGCTGCAGTTTAATTTTCACTGTTTTTTTTAATAATGTCCTTCATTTCCAGAAACACATCTGTACATTACATTATATTATACGTTATACAGAATATCTACAACACTGTGATGCTAACATAGTTCAGTGATGGTACAAACAGGTAAATGGCATAAACAGTTTTACAAAGGGAGTTCTAGGCGTGCTTCTCCTCCAGACTCGGCTCAACCAGTCGTTACAGGCGCAGTGTTGCTCTCATGCAACTAAGTCCTGGGACGAAACATCTCGGTAGAACGCCCCAAAAACCGCCTAAACCAGCTGGCGGACTTCCTGCCACGGTGGTGGCTCTTTTCTCCTTCCAATGTGACCACTGGTGCGAACGTCAGCCGAGTCTATTCGAGTAGTCCTTCTCCGACACCACAATGGCCCTAGGAACGAGCGGGTCTCTCTTTGAAAACGGCTTAACCTGGTCGCACGGTTTAACCGCTTCATGGAGCCCGTTCCTCGGAGTGTCTTGAGTACCGAGCGCACCGGTCCTTCCACATTGGTGCTGCAGACACGTCTTGCTGAAACCCAAACACAATCATCCAAGTAGGATGCACGCATTTGTCTCGGCAAGGTGGACAAGGCTCCTCCATAAAACTTGGAAACATCGCGCGGAACGCCCGAGACGCCAAACGGTATTCTGCTCTCCGTGTCATAGAGATCCCATGGGGTACTGAAAGCTGTGGCAGCTCTGCAACTCTTCTTGACGAACGCTCTGTGGTAGCGCTTTTCCGGTTGATCAAGTAATACAAAACCTATCCTGGTTGCCGACTCAAGCTCTGGACCTGCATGTTTCATAATCCGCGCATTGGAGTCTGCAGCACCATGTTGTCTGGTTGAACCGTCGCCCGCGCCGATAATGTATGGCCCAGCCGTAAGGGAGGCGTGTCCGTCTTCCGCAAACAGACCATGTGACATGAGTAAGGCGATTTGACTCTGAATGCCATTCACGCGTTCCAGGTAGGTACAGTCGATGTAGTCTCTTTGATTTGCTTGATACAGGGTGTGGTGTGAATCGCCTGTGCGTAGCGGCTTCGTCCTTCCACTGGGTGTCGTCTTCAACTGAATGTGCCACTGGCAAGTTGGGCGGCACACAGCCCGCACCGGGTCATCCACCTGCTTTGCTGAATGACGGCGCTATTGCTTTCCGTCCAGAAGCCATCTGGGCGGAGCTGTTGGCAACCTGTTCTGGGAGACAGTATGGACTCCAAGTCTAATTCAACATGGGGTCCCATTTGTTCTGACTAAAGGTCCTAAGGGCTGATCGGACTACCTACGCTGCTCATGACTTACCAGCTGGAACTAGTGCTCACATGGTTGACCGGCCACACGGTTTCTCTTAACCTTCACCTTCATTCCTGTCGGCTTAACCGGTGGTTCACTAGCATCCGCCATCTCGTGCTGGCAGGAACCACAGTAATACGGACTGCACTGAGCTCCAGTCGACCAACCACCACACCACGATGTAGCCGCATAATCAGATACCTCGAAAATTGCTGCATGGGTAAATGCACGACAGGGTAGTAAATCCCTAGAAACTACTGACCGAGCAGCTTGCGGAATTTTAAGGCCCCTCGTCCCAATGACCTGTTCTCAGACACTATCCCTGAATTTGGAGGCGCACAACGCGCGCTAAAGCACTTAAAGCCCGTTTGGTTTTCCCTTCGGTAGGGGACCGCACTCTGAATGGCGCGCAGCACTTCACGTCACTTGAACACGTTTTGCTTGGCCTTGCGCCAAATGTTCAAAACCAACAACACGGACGACACCTTATATAGTCCAGCCGTAGCCCAGAGAAGATGGATGAAAATTCAGTCCCCGTTGGCCAGCTAGTGTTGGATGACATTGTACCCTAATATGCGGGTTTTCCAACCTATTCCACACCGAGAAAAGGAACCCCCACATGTGTGGTCGGCCTTTCGGTGGAGCCCGCTTCGCAACTCCACATACCCACAAAGATCAAGGCATCTTCACTGCTGGCCTCACTACATTATACTGCTCATACCACGCAGGTCCAACTTTACATGGGCTGCACTGTTTTATCTGCAAAATGTCAGTTCAAACACCATCCCCCGTCCCACTAAAGCTGACTTGTGCGCGCCGTATTTCCAGCAAAACCGACGTCTCCCGATATCTTAGGTGTCATACGTAGACCAAACACTTCCACTACCACTAACTTACGGTTTGTGACTTTGACCTTCGGGGCCAGTCCCGTAACTGCACGCCACGTAACATTGTTCTACGCTGACGCGTCTTAGC